AGAGAGAGAGAGAGAGAGAGGCAGTCACAGAGAATTAGATGGGGCGCCTGGATGGCTCAGTCGGTTAAGCGTCTGACTTCAGCTCAGGTCATGATCTCATGAGTTCGAGTTCGAGTTCATGAGTTCGAGTTCATGAGTTCGAGCCCCACATCGGGCTGTGCTGACAGCTCAGAGCCTGGAGCCTGCTTCGGATTCTGTCTCCTTCTCTCTCTGCCCCTGCTCCACTCATGCTCTGTCTCTGTCTCTGTCTCAAAAATAAATAAACATTAAAAGAAAATAAATTTGTAAAAAAAAGAGTAAAAGGGAATTAGAGACAGAGAGTCAAAGAAAGAAGCAAAAAGAAAAGGGAGGAAGGCCCAGAAGCATACACAGTTATATACACTTACATACATACCACTTAAAATGGTAAGTGAAATAGAAAGGCAAGGTACCAGCCCCTTTCCAGCCTCTGAACAGCAGAGCCCCCCCACCCACATATAATAGTACCATCTCCAGAATGTGGGATTCTGTGGGATCTTTTTCTTCTCATTTCGCTAATTACATACAATGAATATTATTACTTTTATAATCATAATAAAAAATACAAACTTTCTAAGAAAAGAAAGGTGGGCATCTCCATGGGTGTTTATTTATTATTATTATTATTTTTAATGTTTATTTATTTTTGAGAGAGAGAGAGAGAGAGACAAAGTGCGAGTAGAGGAGGGGCAGAGAGAGAGGGAGACACAGAATTCAAAACAGGCTCCAGGCTCTGTGCTGACAGCACAATGCGGGGCTCGAACTCATGGACCGTGATATCATGACCTGAGCCAAAGTTGGACCCTTAACCCATTGAGCTGCCCAGGCACCTCTCCATGGGTGTTTAGATGATAGAGGGGAAAGAGGCTTTGCCGGTGGGTCTGAAGGGGCCCAAGTGACCCTGGATGACGAGGTTCCCAGGACAGGGCCGGGACCCCTCCAGGATGTCCCCGGGCCTCCCAGGGAGAGCACTGGACTTACGGGTGAGGTCGGGCAGGAGCCAGGCGTTGCAGTTGACCTGGTAGAGTAGAACGTCACTGCTGAACTCATCAGGGTCCGAGCGCCCCCCAAGGACCACCATGGTGTCCCCTAGCAGGGCTGCGGCATGGAAAAGCCGGGGGCGCGGCTGTTGGGATGACACCCGCAGGATGGCTGGTCAGAGCCCACACTCCTCTGCTCTTCACGCTCCCTCTCAGCCCACCTGCCACCCTGAACCCCATACCTCAGCCCCCAGCAGCCCACCCAACCCCTAATCTCCTTCAAATCTCAGCTCCTTCCTCCAGGAAACCGCCCTCACTCTTCAGAGCAGCCCCCAGGGCCATCTCCCTTCCCCGAACTCCCCAAACCCCCATGCCCTGTTCCCCGGGAACCTGGCACTGGCTGCTTGAGATGAATCCCACATTTCTTGTGTGACCTTGCCAGCTGGGCTGGGGGCACCCTGGGGGTGAGGCTAAGGCCCCAAAAAGGGCTTGGAAATATGTTTGCGGATGGAACACTCAGTTGTCTCTAACCAGCACATCCAGGGTCCGCCTTCTCCCACATACTATCTCCTTTGGCCTTGAATGCAGGAGGTTCAAGTAGCCTCAGTCCCAGATTTTTTGGATGGGGAGGCTGGGAAGTAGAGGGACCTGCCAGGGCTACACCAAGAGAGGGGCAGAGCTGGAGCAGAACCCAGGCCTCTGACCCCCTGGTCTAGGATTCTTCCCTCCCAGTGAGTGATGGGAGAAAGGGAGACGTGGGGTGCCACAGGCCAGTCTAGGGGACTGGAAAGGGAGGGCCCTCCTTCCTGCCCCCCTACACCCAGCTGTGTACACCTCTTTTCCTGACCTTTGCCCCCTGGGAAGGGGCCAGCAGGCTCC